AAGGGATGGCAGACGGCGCGCTTCTGCGAGTTCCCCCAGGAGGCTCTGTGAACCGGGGGGTTAGGGTTTAGGGTTTAGGGTTTAGGATTTAGGATTTAGGGTTTAGGGTTTATGGTTTAGGGTCCTCATTCTCCTCCCCTAATCTTACATACTCCCACTTAGGGGAGGAGTGGACGGTTTAGGTTTAGGGGGAGGGGATTAAGCCTCAAGTGGCGCAAATCAAGTCCCACTAGCAAACCTACAAAAGAATGGTGGGTGGGAACTTGTTCGCTTTTTGCAATTGCCATGTGAGTAGTATTTTATTTGGGGATACTATGGTACCCATTGTAGAGTAAGATTCTATCCTCCTTTTGGGGTATAGTATTTCATATGAGGAATATAATCTTCCTAGGTTTAAACACCCAAAAAAAGCTACTCATGTGCAAGTCTAGACAGGACCCATGAATGCCATTTTGCTCAGCCCATGCAGTTATTGCAGCTCAAAAGTCAGCCACAACCGCTTCCGTCCATGAATGGATATTCGGGGACGATGTCGTCGGACAAGGTGAGAGTTGGCATCCTGAGCACAGCTGCCATTGTGGGCAAGGTTTTGCCTGGCCTCAAGCATGGCATGGAGGTTGTGGGAGTTGCTTCGCGCGATCGCCAGAAAGCTCAGGACTTCTGTAAGGAGCACGACTGTGGTGTAGGAATGCTCTATGACGAGATGCTTGAGCGTGACGACGTGGACGTGCTGTACATCCCCTTGCCTTCAGTTTCCAATTAATTTTCCACTTTCTCTTCCATTTTATTTGCCATGGTTTTAAAAATCTAGGCCCGCAACCTTAAACCCTGAGTGACACGAGGCAGAGAGTCAGTTTCTATATCCTTTCCCATTCCTCTACCAAGGCCCACCGGCTTGCGAAATGAACGCATAGCACAGGCGATCTCGCGAGGAAAGCATATCTACTCTGAGAAGCCCATGGGGGGTACTGCAGCTGAGCTTGCAGAGCTCACCAAGCTTTGTGAAGAGAAAGGGCTTCAGTGGATGGATGGCACCATGTGGTATCATTCCATAAGGACTGGGTAGGCCCTTGGGATATTTGATATTTTCCCTAATGGCTTTAATAAGGGACCCTATATACTAATATTTTTCATTGGGTTTTAGGGGCCAGCCTAAAGGACGAAGGAGATTGAGAAGAAGCTGCGAAATGGCGATCTTGGCCAGGCGCAGTGCGAATTGCAGTCATGCTTTTCTGGGTTGCTGTTAAG